ACTCTGACGCTTGTCATGATCTCTGACACCCCCGCCTGGCCACAACGGAGCCTGATGCTACTCGGCTGGGACCCTTCCTCCCTCGTCCCAGTACCTCTGCTCATAATGAGAACCTGGTGGAGAACCCCTGAAGGCAGCTTCAGCCAGGAAGGGATTTCCTAACGTGCACAGGACACGAGCATCATCGAGCCTCTTACAGTGAAGTCCAAGAGCTGAGGATGAGGGGACAGCGGAGGAACTCGTGCTGGCCCCGGTCTGGCTGATCATGTTTCAAGGACGAGGGAGCATGCAGAGACTGCTGTCCCCAGCATGAGACACGGGGGCTCACACTCAGCTCCGCAGCAGGCTGCACTGTTCTCGGGGAGTCTGCATTCCCACGGGCGTCCACACTAAGCACCATGGGGGGCCCTGCAGTCCCACAGGCACTCACACTAAGCACCATTGGTGGGGGGCCTGCAGTCCCACTGAGCTACTGTTCCATCATTCAAATAAATCAGAAGCAAATAAAGTGATCAGCCCAGGCCCTCCAGTCGCGTCACAGTGCCATTTAACAGCGTGCAGCTCAGAGTTCCAGGTATGGCTTTTCTATCAGCAACAGCACCCCAGGTGGACATCGTACAGGATGGAAGTGCATGACCTGCGGCTGCTGAACACTGAATGCCCAAGGCCCTCTGCCCTCTTTTCTTGGCTCGAAGCTGGAAGCTGCCATTGGCCTCTCTCTGAGCCCTCGTCTCTTCAAGGTTATGTCCGATCAGGCCCCACCCACCTTGGTGTGACACCTGTTAGCACACAGAACTGCAAAGCTGCTCGTCTTCTTCAATCTGCCCAGTTAGGCATCACTAAAAATCGATTCGAATGTATTTTATAGACAATATTTGCTCTGTATTGCCACAATAAACAAAAGAACGATGATGCCGAGGCCCGACTGTGTGCACAGGCCAGGTCTGCCCAGGTGGTCCCCCGGAAGAAGACCCCATGTTGGTGTCTCTGGGGCCCAGGAGCGGCTCAAGCAGGGGAGCAGGGCCCTGGGACCCTGACCTGCTTCTCCGCTCTCCTAAAGACCTGGAGCCAGGGATCCAACACGGAGCCAGCCAGGCCCTGGGAAGCCAAGAGCACTTAGAGGAAATTGTCCCTTTTCAAAGAATCATCTCCACAGGGCAGGGGTGGAGGAGTGCAGTGGCTGCCAAATGCAACCCACCACTGGGGGCCGGGTGGTCTGCCCACCCCACCTGGTTCACTGCATCTATCCAGGGGTTCGAGCCCCCATGGGGCTCAGGAGAGGAGGGTCACCAGCTGCTCTTGAGAGGAATTTTGTTCCATCACCTGCAAGAGGGAAGAAATGTAGCACTTACTCAGGAATGAGCCCCAGGCAAGGGTCTAAATGCACCCCATAAATGTCAAAATGTCAAGACAAAATCAAAGGGGAACAGGTGAGCAGCGTGTCCAAACAGAGAATAGAGACAGAGGAGGGAGATCCAGTCGTGTGTGTGTGTGTGTGTGTGTGCGCACGTGCGCGCACATTTATGTATGTGACGCATGTCTTCCTAGGTTTTCACATGTGTGAAAAGGGGGTGTGTGCACATGTGTGGCCATAAGTTTTTGTGTGTGTTAGATGAGTGCATGTCCGTGTGGTGTGCACCTGTGGTCATGCCTGTTCACGTGCGGGTATTTTCATGCATGTTGGGGGGTGTGCCTGCGCATGCGTGTGTGTGTGTGTGTGTGTGTGTGTGTGTGTGTGTGTGTGTGTGAAGGAGCCCTGCCGTCCACAACAGCAGACCTGACCCCCCACAAGCCCTGCCTGCCCTCCCTCAATTCTTCCAGTAGTTTCTCCCAAAATGCATTCCTTCCTCCACAGCCCTTTTTATAATTTATTACTTTCGATTAAGCCTTTCATGGCCAAGTTCTTTTCTACTTTGAATATTTTGTTGATTATGAGATAGAAAGCTCCATGGCTGCTGACAGCGTGGAGCCACCAATGGCTCCTGAGACCGTGAGCTGTGCGGAGGCAGACGGTCAGGCTCACCCTCCCGCAGTGCGGCTGGTGGGCTCCCGCCAACCGGGGCATCCCCTGGTGGTTGGAGGTGTGCTGAAACACGGGAGGAGGTTCTCAAGATGGCACAGGTGTGACACAGGTCTGACACACATGTCCCAAGGGGACTCTGCTGGCAGGACTGCTGGGAGGCCCACCCCCCAGATTCACGCTGTCGTGCGGACTCCTGCAGGAAACCTGCACCTCGGGCCTCCAGAGCCTGTCCCCTGGTATCACATACCTTCTGTTATCTAAGAGGAGGCTGGTGGCACAGGGGGTCAGCACTGGCCCTTCATTAAAGGGCAGTGGAAAACCCGAAGCATGCAGTGGTGGTGACCCCGCAGCCTGTCTGGCGTCATGGAGTCCTCCCTGCCCACATGTCCCATGTGACAGAGCAGACCCATCCCACAGGGACAGATGACCGCAGCTCCTTCCCGTGAAGCCCCTGGTGGATTTAAACCTCCAGATTCTTCCTAGGAGCCCAGTGCTTAACTGCTATGCCACCAGGGCAGTCAACATTATCAGACTGCACACGTGAAGATAGTTACAGTAGTCTGCTTTTTGTAACATGGATTTTGCTGCAAGAAAAAGGAACTTTATTTTGGGGTTTTTTCATTCTTGTACATTATATTTTTACAACATCCATATACATTTTGTTTCTATAATTACTATTGACCTATGTTTTTTAGCAACCATCTCTTCAAGTCCCCGTTTCATCTTACCTATGCCATCCCCCGCCATCTGCCCTCTAACTTCTGCTGCCCTAGTGGCCTCCCCCTCCCCTTCTTTTGCCCCCTTCTCCCCTTCCCATTCCCCTTTAGACAGCTGTACACAGCTGGGTCTCTTATCCTGCGATTCTCACAGTAGCAGCCTTTGGCAGCATCAGTCCTTTTATGACCAAGTTCTTCCACTCGCCATAATGCCTTCTTTTTTTAATTTTGTGTATGCCATCAAATCCGATCAGACTGGTACAGGAGGAGATTGTCCCTCCTGCTCCAGCAGAGCATCTGGTAGATTTGAACCGCGTGCCTTTGGCATTGCAGTGCAGCTTCTTTACACTAGGCCACCAGAGCTCCCTTGCTATAATGACTTGTGGCTTTTTAGTGCTACATAGTATTCCATTGTGTGAATGCACTACAGGTTCTCTATACATTGCTTCAAGCTGCAAAGACTGAGTTGTACAAATTTCCTTTTGTATCTCAACTCTGATACCCATGGGGTATATTCCTAGTATTGAAATAGCTGGATCGTATGGGATTTCTATGTTCAGCTTTTTGAGGAAATGGCATACTGCCTTCTATAGTGGACATCTATCTACCTACAGAAAACTGAAACTGGATCCACATCTCACACCACACACACAAAACAACTGAAAGCAGATCAGAGACATAGGGGTGAAACAAAAAAAAAACAACAACCATCGAGATCATCAGAGAGAAGAAATAGGAACAAAGTTAGAAGCCCTTGTCAATAGCACGAATTGGCTTCCAAAAATGTACAGCCAGATTATAAAATGGACAAATGGGACTGTCTTAAAATCAAAGCCCTAATTGCACCCCAGGCTTTTCCAACAGGTTGAAAAGGAAGTTCACAGACTGGGAAGAAAATTAACTTTAAAGAGTGAAAGATGCAATCCCAGAGGTGCACGGTTCGAATCCACCAGATGCTCTGCCGGGGAAGGAGGTACAATCTCCTCCTGTACCAGTCAGATCTGATTTGATGGTACACGCACACACACAATTAATAAAATTTAGAAAAAAAAGAGTGAAAGATGGTGGCCTTGTTGGCCCTCTTCCCCTCCTGTCCTGGAGGCCTCTGAGCCCGGTGCCCAGCACAGCAGCCTTCAGAGGACCAGCGTGTCTTTGTTGAAGGAGCAGGTCAGAGAATGACTGGGACAGCGGGGGACATGGAGAGAGACTGCCTGAGTGTCCTAGCCAATAGGCCTCCCTTGGTCCAGAGACTCCTTTCTAGTCCCTACCCCAGTGTTCTCCCCTCAACATCTCACCCTGGCATCCTCCCTGATGTCCTCCCCTCAGCGTCCTCCTCTGATGTCCTCCCGTCAGTGTCAGTATCCTCCCCTCAGCATCCTCCCCTCGGTGTCCTCCCCTGATGTCCTCCCCTCAACGTCCTCCCTTCGGCGTCCTCCCCTGATGTCCTCCCCTCAGCGTCCTCCTCTGATGCCACAGAGATGCTGCCAGTGGGGTGACAGCGTGGCTCCTTGTGGACCAAGGCACCAGAGCTCCCTCTGTCACCGGCTCTGCCGCCCTGGGGTGCTGCTTCTGGACACTGGCCACTTCATGTCACAGCCCCTGTTCCCATGACCTTAACTGTGACCTACTGCTCAGGGGACACTTCACTGAGTGCCTCTGTCAACATGCACAAGATGAGATGATTCCATGTCCTTTGTACATTAAGTCACTGGGCTGTCAACTGAGGGTCAGCCACTTGAACCACAGTCACGCCACAGGGGAAAGGTGGGCCATCCCGAGATACGGACACTCAAGCAGTCCTGTCCTGCAGGTCACTGAAGGTCACAGTCACTGAGTGGACAGCAGTGGGCTTTGCTCATCCAAACACGCCTGTTCTCTCCGCACGCAGGCTCGGTATAAAAGGGCGCCAAGTATTCCTCCAGAATCCAGCAGATGGTGTTCTCCTGGTGTTTGTGGTTCGCCTTCCTGAGCTCCGTGGTGGGAGAGTCAGAACAGGGGCCCTGGGCGGCCATTAGCTACGCTGCTAACACCGTTGGTGTCCCAGGTCTCCTGGCAGCCTGTAATTGGACTCCATTGCCCCGTGGGGCACCCAGGGCCCTGAGCTCCTCACTGGTGGTGCTGTCCCCACAGTGGACAGTGGGTGAAGGGGTGCAAATGCCCCCCGCATACCTCAGGAATGGCCTGACACAGGGTGCATGGCTGGGCTGCACGTTACTCTTCCAGGCCACAGGCTGACGGTCCCTTTCTGCTTCTCCTCTCAGATCCGATCGGACAAGGACAATGACATTCCCATCCGGTACAGCATCACAGGTGTGGGCGCCGACCAGCCCCCCATGGACGTCTTCAGCATTGACTCCATGTCAGGGCGGATGTACGTCACCCGGCCTATGGATCGAGAGGAGCGTGCCTCCTACCACGTAAGTGTCCTCACACCCTGGCAAGTTGTTGGTCTCTGTCTCCCCTTCCATCTGCCTGTCCAGTCAGTCACCCATGTGTCGACTCATCCACCATCAGTTCACCCACCCACCCGTCTATCATCCATTCATCCGTCTACCCAGTGACACATCCACCCATCTATCCATTCATATACTCACCCACAAATACATACATACCACCACCCACACATCTGTCCACCTACCCGTCTACGCAGTCATCCACCCACCCACAGCCGTTCACCTTCCATCTACCCACCCTTCCAGGGCACTGCCCGAGCATGTCCTCAGCCCTAGACCCTGTCCTGAGCATGATCTTATGAACGACGAAGCAGATATGCCTTGCTCTGAGGAGCTCATGTGCTGGCGGGCGGGTGATTCTTGGCCTGAAACCCCTAAAAAGTGCCACGTGCCCCAGTTCCCCAACAGCAAGACCATGGAGTGTCCGGAAGCTGCTCTGTCCCCTTCAGAAAAGTCCCTGTGGACACTAACATGACCCCCTGAGTTGCTGTCCAACTCAGGTATCTGAATAGCCCTTCAGAGGAAGAGAAAGGGACCAGGTGACCAAATGACCTTGTACAGGGCGGGGGGGATCATTCCCTGGAACCCCCGAGAACCTGAAGGAACACGCCCCGCCCTTTGTTGACAATGCAATGTTGCTGGCAAGGCCAAGGGGTGCGAGGAAGGTGGATGGAGACTGGCCGTTTCAGACGCTCCTGTCCGGGTGAGCGTTGTCGAGGTCATGAGACCCCCGGACCAGGGTGCGGCTGTGGACATGTTCACAGAGGTGAAGGTGTCCTCGTGATGCTCAGGTCAACTCTGCCGCCTGCTTCTAGGCAAACAATGTCGAGGTCTCCCCCTCAGGGGAGAGGGTTTAGGGGAGCTCCCTCCCCTCTGAAGAAGGTTGTCACTGAGGGAGGCTGAATTTATTTCAATGCCAGATGGCCCATGTGAGAGCTACCCCATGGGGTCCCCAGGTCATCATCTTCATTCGAGGGGTCACCAGGCCTTCCCTCAGTGGAGGTCGTTCTCTGACATGGGTACACTGCCCTCATCTTTTCTCCCTCCAGCCCATCTCGTCTTCCCCCCACCGCGCGCTTCCTGTCGGGAAGGGCTCCCAGTAGATGAAGGGTCTCAGCTCAGGAATGTGGGCAAGGAAGAAGGAAAGGAGGGAGAGAAGACACCCCTCAACCAGGAACCAGCCCCACCCAGCCCCTCCGTCACTGTCCCGGTCAGCGTCTGGCACCAGCTGTCCCTCACTCGGCAGGGTCCCCTCTGGCCTGATTAGCTGGTCAGGACCCAAAGCCTCCCCCCAGGTGTGCTCACCTGATTCCGTTCACCTTGTCCAGCATCAGGCCGGCCATGTCTCATTCAGTGGACAGCCAGGCCCATCCCAGGCAGCCGGCAGCCGGCAGCCGGCAGCCCTCCTCCTGCGTGCTCACAGACCCAGGCCCGAGGCTGAGCTCTGCGTCACCTCCCAGCACTGCTCCTGACAGACGTGTTGGGGGGCTCCCAGCTTTAAGTTCTGTTATTTTGGGGACAGGTCCTCTTGGTGCACCCCTCTATTGTCCCAGAAGCCCTACGAGTTCCCAGGAAGATGAAGCCAAAGCCAGGGTCTCCTCCAGCTGCTTCCTGAGTGGACCACCAGCCACCCTGCCAACATCCACTTACCTCTCAGTGAAAAATTAAAACCTAACCCTCCCACAGAAAGAACGGCTTCTTGTCTCCCAGCCAGCTGGCCCAGAGCGTCCTCAGAGAGCCTGGTTCAGGCCCGCGCGGTTCTCTCCTGTGGAGGGGTCACCAGGCCTTTCCCCTGAGGGGCCTGCGATGGACCTCTGATGGTCACCGGTCATCAGTACCCCTTGTGTTTTAGCTGACCCTGACCGTTGGTGGGGCCCTGCATTGGGCCTCTCGCTGCCTGTCTCCCGTCCTGTTTGCTCCTCCTTACACAGTCTGGGACTTTGTCACCTCGCTACTGCTCTCCTCCGGGACCGGGGCAGAGTCACACAGCTTCCCTGTCAATGAAGGGGCTCCGGCGCACTTAGGCTGGGCGTGGGCCATGGTTCAGACCCACCACCTCCCCTCAGGAGAAGGCTGAGACCAGCAGCCCTTGTGACAGTTCAGGGCCTCAGAGTCCCTGGAGGGACTTGTGCTGTCTTGTGCTGTGGGTACGGATCAGCAGCAGTGGGTTTGGGTGAGAAACCAAAACATCCCCGCGGCCTGTTTGATTGTGAGGCTCTCTTTACTGCTGGCCCGAGTGCTGGAGCCCAGGGTCTCCACGGGCAGCCTGCAGTCAGCCGCAAACTTACTGACCATCAGCGATGAGACCCAGCCCGGGCGTCAGCACTCAGGGTCTCCTTGCCCAGGACCACAGGCGACAGTGGCCCGATTTCAAGTGACATTGAGGGTACGCAGCTGGCCCCTGGGAAGAGCTGGTGCCTCCTTCTCATCAGAGCCGCCCTAGCCCCCAGCAAGCGCTCAGGAAAACATACCCGGGGTCTTCCCTGGACACCCCCAGTGAGCACCCAATGAGAACATGCCTGGCGCCTTCCCAGGAGACCCCCAGTGGATGCCCAGTGAGAACATACCCGGGGGCTCCCCTGGAGGCCTCCAGTGGACGCTGAGATGGGCTGACCACCTTGGCCCCACTCCCCTGGCCCCGCCTGGCACTGCTGTGAGTGAAGAGACAGATAGTGGCTTTAATTCAGCCCAGAGTGATGTTTGTTCTCAGAAGCCTAGTGAACCTGGACCTGGGGCTTTGCTGAGCTCCTGCCTCTGACAAGTTAAAGGACAGCTGGGTCCTGCTGCCCACCCCTCAGCGGGTTTGGAGCCAGGAAGCAGGTCTGGGCAGTGGCCTGGGGGCCATCACACTAGCGCATGGACAGCACAGTTGGTGTTTGCTGGACATGTTAGTGCAGTTTGGGGGGCTTAAGAGGAACCTGCTGCATGCTGGGCCCCATGATGCTGACTGCAGTTCCCCACGGAGCAGCTCCTCCCCCTCCCTGGCCCCACTCACCACTGGCCCCCTTCCTGTCACTCCTGCTCCCAAGCCCAGTTTCTGGTGAGAAACTGCCCTTTGGGTCTGGCAGGATGGGCTGTTCTGAGGAGCACACTCCACCCTGTGTATGGTCCCCACGGTGGACCCGTCTAGTATGTGGTCTACACTGTGGGTCCATCTGGTGTGTGGTCTACACTGTGGGTCCATCTGGTGTGTGGTCTAC